TTCCATATCCTTCTGAGTACTTGTGAAATAAAAATGATTATCACTGTTACGTTGCGTCTTTTTTCCTCGTTTGATTGTAATACACGGAAAAATATTCGTGAACATGAAAGGATTGTGCTAAAAATAAGCCAACATAATGTTTGTATTTTATTTAATCAGGACATGCCTAAAAGAGAATTTGCAGTCTAAATACACAATTGATATATATATATATATATATATATATATATATATATATATATATATATATATATATTACAGAGGTCCTCGGCTCGTGTATAAATTGAAAAATGTGCTGTCAAATATTTCCTTTAATACCCAACGTCTTTTAAGCAATACGCACATATCTGTCAATATTAAATTCAATTGAATTATCTTACCACTGATGAAGGCAAGCAATATCTGCGTAAATTGAAGCTGACAGATAAGTTTTTGAAATTTCTATTTTAATTTAATTATATTGTATATGTATACACATACACACACACACAGATGTAAGTGTGTGTGTCTTTGTGTGTGTACACATATTATAGAAACGAAACGGTACTGATAATTTGTCGGCCCAACTAAAAAGTGATTCTCAAATAAAATTTGATTGTTTGGTCATTTGTTTAAATGGACTAAGTTAGTCGGGCCGTGGACTTTCTGGTAACTTTTTCGGATAATATTCACCTGATCTATATATTTTAATATTCTATAGTTCATTAATATCTATCTATCTATCTATCTATCTATCTATCTATCTATCTATCTATCTATCTATCTATCTATTTCAGTCTGTTAATATCTATCTATCTATCTATCTATCTATCTATCTATCTATCTATTTATTTTAGTCTGTTAATATCTATCTATCTATTTATCTATCTAAGTCTGTTAATATCTATCTATTTATCTAAGTTTGTTAATATCTATCTATCTATCTAAGTCTGTTAATATCTATCTATCTATCTATCTATCTATCTATCTATCTATCTATCTAAGTCTGTTGATATCTATCTATGTCTGTTATCTATCTATCTATCTATCTATCTATCTATCTATCTATGTCTGTTCTGTACATGCGTGTGTTTGTGTGTATTAAATCGTAGCTTTTAGTAGATTAAACCTTGTTTTGTTAGTCCTTTTTGCTTCTCTTTTCGAAGTGAAATATTTTCGAAAAGTCAAAGACAATCAAGAAAGTTTATTTTACTTCTTACTCTCTGCACAACTTACGATAAGGCACTGACGTCACCGAACATACTTCTCTTCCCATGAGAAGAGAAACGTTTTTAGTATTACGGTGTTTATGATGATCCTCTGTGTGTGTGCACGCGTGTGTGTGTGCTTCAATATTCGTTTTCTTTTCAGCTACTTCGCAAAAGATGTCAATGCACTGACTATGTTGGCTCAAAATAAAAATTTACGTAAATTAAATGTCGTAATTATTTGCTTTTCTTTGTTTGGTCGGAGTGCATTAATGTAAATTCTGTGGTTTTAAACCAAAGACCACGCACACATTAACGACACACACGCATATTGGCAGCACATACTCATTGCTGGAAGTATTGTCGCCTATACTCTTTTTTTTTAACAATAACAATTTATCTAAAAAAAAATATTATGATTTGGCATTCTGAATGCGAAATGCCTAAATGTGGGATGATTTTTCGATAAATGTTATATTTAGAAGAATTTTTCGGCTACATTTCAATGAGAATTTTGAACGGAGTATCTTTTTTTTTTTTTTACAAAACCAAAAACAAACAAATTAAGAATGTTTATGAAAAAATGAGTTGCACGGGAATGTGTCTACTAAAACTATACTTAAATACTTACACTTATATGAAGGTATCTATTTAACTCTAAAATCTAAATCTGTTCAAGTCTCTCACTCTATCTGTATGTCTATCGATCTATCTATCTTTAAGTCTACTCATATCTAAATCTATTTGTTTCTATGTATCTATCTATCTATTTCAGCATTGTTTAATATCTATCTATTTATCTATCTATTTCAGTATTGTTTAACATCTATCTATCTATCTATCTATCTATTTCAGTATTGTTTAATATCTATCTATCTATCTATCTATTTCAGTATTAACCATCTATTATATCATATCTATCTATCTATTTCAGTATTGTTTAATATCTATCATCTATCTATCTATTCATCTATCATTATCTATCTATTTCTATCTATTTCAGTATTGTTTAATATCTATCTATCTATCTATCTATTTCAGTATTGTTTAATATCTATCTATCTATTTCAGTATTGTTTAATATCTATCTATCTATCTATCTATCTATTTCAGTATTGTTTAATATCTATCTATCTATCTATTTCAGTATTGTTTAATATCTATCTATCTATCTATTTCAGTATTGTTTAATATCTATCTATATCTATCTATCTATCTATCTATTTATCTATCTATCTATCTATCTATCTCAGTATTGTTTAATATCTATCTATCTATCTATCTATTTCAGTATTGTTTAATATCTATCTCTATTTCAGTATTGTTTAATATCTATCTATCTATCTATCGAAATCTGTTCATAGATATATCGATATACCTTCCTAGCTAAGAGGGTATACATTTTCCAACCCGATCGTCAAAACTCCAATAAAAAAAAAGTAAAGCTATACACTCTTAAATTAGTTAAAACTAAAAGTAAAACCTTCATTGAGAAAAAAATGAGTCGATAATTGGAAAGTACTTACGTATTATATTAATTTAATACGTGAACATGTGTGTATGAATATAAGCATGTATTTATATAGTTTTATGTATATAGAAAGTTTTTCTGTCAGGTGCCAACTATCAGAGTTCAACTGTGTCAAGTATCAAAATTTCATATGTTGAATTTAAATATCTCTGACGCTAATGTCGATTTCGTATCGGTGTTTGGCTTAGCCTAATCTATCTGTAAAGCCTAATAATAGTCAATCTATTTGGGTATTAGTCAAAGCCGTAAATAAATAACTTACTTCACAAAAACAAAATGTATATCAACATATTAATTTTCAACATGCACGTGCCTGTGTGTATATATATATATATATATATATATATATATATATATATATATATATATAACTTGAATGTAAGTTTCTGGAGATTCATACAGTCTGCTTATAATATTGATAAACTGTTCATTATATATATATATATATATATATATATATATATATATATATATATATATATATGTATGTGTGTGTGTGTCAATATATTGAAAATATTGAAATATAGGAAAGAACACGTTAGGTAAATAATCCGAAGTTCTTTAGTATTTTTGTTTTTTTTATTTAAAAAAAACAGTGCTCAATATAAAAAAGCCTAAATTATATATATATATATATATATATATATATATATATATATATATATATATATATATATATATATATACAGTCTAATATGTTGGTAACTGCATCACCTTTCAAGATTGAATATAAACTGTCCCTTCTCTATATACTGAGTGCTTTTCTGTATTAATACAGCACACTGTCATATATATATATATATATATATATATATATATATATATATATGTACTGATAAATTGATATGAAGAAACTAAGAAAGTTAGATATGTTTATAGAATATAAACTGTCTATATCTATAAAACGTCTGTCTACGACACTGCGCGTTCTTCCTCTATAAATACAAATAATGTAATAATATATATATATATATATATATATATATATATATATATATATATATATATATATATATTCATTTAACGAGAGACTTCTGTTGCAACACAAGCTGGCCGCTAAGTGAGAAGTTCGTTAAAATGCAGATTTTGCGTGTAATGGTTTTTTTGTGTCAAGCAGATTCAATTAACTTTTAGCGAAATTAGTAACTTTTAAATTCATTTCTAAATATTTCTACTGTACAGTAGTATACTAAAAAGTAAAATTAATCGATCCATTCGATAACGACCTCAATTCTGTAGGGGACTCCGGTCTGTCGCGTGTAAAATACATTAAATCAAAAAAGTACATGTTTTTTTTTATATATATATATTTATTTATTTTTCAATATAGTTGTTGACGTAACTTGGCTACGATACATTTTAAAAGAAATGGAAAATATTCATAAAAAGCAAAAATATTCCTGTTTTTTTACGACTTACAAACTGACTGATTGGATTTTAAACATTTAAAATCATTATGACTGACATATATATATATATATATATATATATATATATATATATATATATATATATATATATATATATATATATATATATATAATATATATATATGTGTGTGTGTGTGTGTGGACGTGTGCATACACGTTAGCGGATGAAAAGCTGACTGTCTGGCTGGCTCCTTTGGCAACCTCGGCGGATTGTAAACAATCTGTTGATATTGGACAATCGCAAATTTAAAAAAACGTAAAATTGAAATGGACGATTCAAATAAAATCAGCTTCGTGTAAAAACGTTCAATCTGAGTTATGTATGTATATATATATATATATATATATATATATATATATATATATATATAGTAAAAATAAATTTTAATAATCAGTAAGTTTCATACCCTATTTAACTCCTACAAAACTAAAATGCTGAAACTTTAAGCGCACACACACACATAGGCATAAAATCATCTAGCTAGATAGAGATATGAATAGACTCACATAGATAGATATGATGAATAGACTCATAGATAGATAGATATGAATAGAATCAGATAGATGAATAGATAGATAGATAGAATAGATAGATAGATAGATGTGAATAGACTCAGATAGACTCAGATAGATAGATAGATAAGAATAGATAGATAGATAGATAGATAGATAGATAGATAGATAGATGAATAGATCAGATAGATAGATAATAGATAGACTCAGATAGATAGATAGATAGATAGATAGATAGATAGATAGATAGAACATTTTTAGACAGCTAGATAGACAGACAGATAGCTAGAATCTTCGGTCGGTATTTAAACGAAGTTCATTCTTTCGTTTACTGAATAAAACCGAAAAGAAATGTGTTTTTTAAGCCATTTATGATTCACTTCTGGTGTCGATGAAAACTTGTGAAGAAATTTGCCGAAATCGTTTGTAATGTTCCGAGTTCTTTCGACCATCTTTGGTCATTTTCAAGGAACGAAGGCAAAATCCGAAAAAGAAAACTCGTGGATCGTTTACGGTGTTAAACGGCCAGGAATTTGAAATGAACATAAATACACATACTATGAGGGTGGGCAGGGTTTTTTTTAGAAACGCTTGACTTAATACACACACACACACACACACACACACACACACACACACACACACACACACACACACACACACACACACACACACACACACACACTTATATTTCTAGAAACTTCATAATAAAATAAACGTGGTAAAAAACATGTGAAAAAATAATTCTACAAAGATTTTCTAAAAAAGTGACTAGAAAATCATTTATTTCATTAGTGAATATATTCTGAAAGCTTTATTAAGATCCGAAAATTAGCTGATTGTTGCAAGAATTTGCAAATGAATTTGTTTTTCAACGCAAAAAAAAAACGATCAAATTTCTTGTACAAATAAGTCCCACGTTGACGCCAGAATAAACAAGATTTTTAACCCATATTTTGAAGGTTCATTTAAAATGATTTTAAAAAATAATTTTTCCATAAAATAACCTTTGGTCTTTTCTTTAAATAAATAACCCCAAAATGTTGATAAAAGTTTGTCTTCATGTTTCGTTAGGTATTTTTTTTTTTTTTTTTATAATGTATGTTTTTTTTTTTTTTTTTTTTTTTTTATTGAATCTTGTACCAATCATTGATCTGGTACATATTGGGTTTTTAATTTGAAGTGTTACCAATAAAAAATTTAACATTTTCCAAGCTAAACACATGAACAGATATTTTAAATCTCTTTGCCCACTTATTACGATAGGGGCTCGAACGGAATGACGCTCCAGCTATGACGTATGGGTTATGTAAGCGCTTCAAGTTTGTCTCTATCAGGTTATAACTCTGGGTGCTCGCGCGCGCGCACGTGTTTGTATGTGTGTGTGTTTTTAGCTGCACGAACCATGGGGTTTGTGGGGAGTGCACTGACTCCGATGATAGGGTTGTGGGGAAGAAGTGACGACGACAGACCAGAAGGAAAAGAAAAACCCGTCCTTTTCTCGTCATATTTTTTCGTTCTTTTTTTTTTTTTTTGATGGGTGATGCAATTTCTTTTGTTTTTGTTTTATTTCTCTTATCGAACTTCTTTTTCGGTCACCCTCGTCTTTGTAT